TGTGTGGGTGTGTGTGTGTGTGTGTGTGGGAGAGACAGAGTGTGTGTGTGTGTGTGTGTGTGTGTGTGTGTGTGTGTGTGTGTGTGTGTGTGTGTGTGTGTGTGTGTGTGTGTTGATCCAGATTTGGTGCATTTGGTGGAGGAGGTGTTGCCGGACCTGAAGAAGGACAACATGGCGCTGTGGGTGGTGGATCACACGGCCCCCTCGGAGGAGTTCACCAGTCTACTCGATAAGGTGGAGAGCATGTCTGGAGAAAGCTTGAGTGACCTTCCTAAAGTGAACATCATGTCCAACTTCCTCTTCATCTTCACTTCAGGCACCACAGGTACTGCACAGCAGGATACTCTTCACAAATCACACACTGCGCATAAAGCAAATCTAAACTACTTGTAGCGGCGAAAAACGTAAAGAAATGAAATAGATTAAACTGTCGCTGAGGCAGAAGGCAAATTTTACGCAGGGAATAATAATCCAAGTCTAGTCAGGAGCGTTGTTTCATAGGCCTACATTTATTTTGATAATCCAATATCAACAAAGTTACATTAAGAGTTATCCTTTAACTTCCGCTGTGTCTTTCCTAGCCTCCTTGTGCTAACCACGGTAAAAAAATACATTTGCCTATACTGGTGCGCTAATCCCACCACTACCTGTCTCCAATATGTAAATGGCTTGTATCAATCACCCACAATTTGGCCTTAATGATTAAATATGAAGAAATACTATTAACTTCAGCTGATTGTAGGTCTACTCATATTGATTTATATAGATGCAGGGACATATTTTAGCCCTGGTACTAAGGAAAGGAACATCTGTCTCAACAACTACAGTATATGATGGATTTACATAAGTAGGCTACGGTCCATGTATTCATGTCCGTTAGCATTTAGCTTAGCATATCCTCTCAGAGCCGCTAGCATGGCTTAGTCTTGTTTTATAACAGCAATGCAATTCGATGTTGGGTTCAGGCACGGGAGATAGAAAAGCAAACCAAAGGAAATACAATAAACCTAAAAAGAAATGAAAACAAAAACGAGGCAAGACATGAATCATCTGTTGTTTATTCCATCAGGGGTGTCCAAACTACGGCCCGCAGACCTTTTTTAATCAGCCCTCAGCAAATTCTAAAAGTATAATGGAATATGGCCCACACATGAAACTTGAGCTTGTCTTGTATTGTACTTCTTAAATATGAATGTAAACATGTATTACACTGTAGTATTCATGTGTTAATGAGACCACTTTTCAAATAAATCCAGTCAATTAAAGTTGGAAACATTTTCTAACAAATCTTAGTTGATAAGAAAAAAGCCCAATGACTTATTTCCATAACAAGCTTGAAATAAACCCTTCCTATTTCTCCTTATGATAATCAATCTGAGGCTTCTGCTTTAAGGGATGAGCTGCTAACACTCACAAGCATCATGTACCTACATTTGATTGATGTCGCTAATTTATAACTTATGAGGCAATATACCTCTCGCGGCCCAGACCTATGTATATTTTTCTGTAGGTAGGCCTCGGTCAAAAAAGTTTGGACACCCCTGAGTTACATCCATTAAAACACTGTTTGAAGTGTTCTGAATACAACTGTGCTTGACTGCACCACGTTTCAGAGCAGCAATGGAGTCTCAAAACCAAATTTGTCATCCACAAGATTTGAACTGAACCAGGGAAAACGCAGTTCAGTAACTCCTGTGTTTCTCTGCCAGGTCTCTCCAAGGCGGCCCGGGTGGGTCACCTGAAGGCCGTCCTCAGTATGGCCTTCTTTGAGATGTGTGGAGCCATGTCTGAGGACATCATCTACATCACTCTGCCTCTGTACCACATGTCTGCTTCCCTGCTGGGGATCGGAGGATGCATACAGCTCGGTGAGAAAAAGCTTTTTTGCCTTAAAAACAAAAACACAATTCCTGGAAGAATATTTTTTTTTTTTTCAGTTCATTGTGAGGCTCAAAGCTGGAGGAAACAACATGACGACGGACATCCTTTTCATTGGACTATAAGGAATTCTCACTTCCTCACAAACAAAGCAGGGGAACATTCTTTTGTTTGTATTTTGAAGTAAAATATCTGTATTGAGTTTTGTGCAGATTTAACAAACACATTTTCACATTTCCTGGTTTTGGTTTTCTTATTACAGGAAATTGCACTACAACCCCTCTTTTGTTACATATAAGAAAACAAAAAGAATCCCCCCACCCTCTGAAGAACTGGAACATTGGTTGTATGGAGTTTTTACACAGTCTCACACATCTTCTCTGTCTCTCCTTTGGGTCTCAGGTGCGACGTGTGTTTTAAAGAAGAAGTTTTCAGCCAGTCAGTTTTGGAAGGACTGTGTGAAGCACGATGTGACGGTGGTGCAGTACATAGGAGAACTCTGTCGATACCTCTACAACCATCCTGCAGTAAGAACGTTAAAAACCTTTCTGATAACCTCTGACTACAGGTGAATGAACTGTAATTAGTTTAACAATGGTCTTATTTACAGGGCGTGTTGTTGCACATCAGTGATGGTCTTTGTTGCAGCTTTTCATGACAAGCCAAAAGCACTTCAACACCTTACTGATTTTTCTAGTTTCAACAGGGTGACGATCTGTATGTCGTTATGTCGTTGTTTAGTTCAAGAAATGCTGCAGGAAAGCTTAGATTTTGACAAATGCTATTCTGTTATTCTGCTTATTATACTTTTCTAATGGAACTGAAATCCTAACGCACCCCCACCTCTGGTTTGTTGCATTAACCCGTAAAGGACAGAACGTCATCCAAAGTGTTCTTTAAGGGGTATTGCTGCCCGTCATCAATGAATATCTAAAGCACATGTGATCAAAAACAGTCCGTCAGCCTTGTTGAAAGCTATTGTTTGCTTTTACGTTCTGACTTTTTCTCAAAATCAAAAAAATCAGACTTTTCTCTCAAAATTCTGACTTTTTTTCTCAAAATTAAAAAGACTTTCTTTCTCAAAATTATGAATTATTTTCTCAAAATTATGAATTATTTTCCTCAAAATTATGGATTTTTTTCTCAAAATTGTGGATTTTTTTCTCAAAATTGTGAGTTTCTTTTCAAAATCTCAAAATGATGACTTTTTTCTCAAAATCTCTAAATTGTGACTTTTTTCTCAAATTCTCAAAATTATGACTTTTTCCTCAAAATTATGACTTTTTTCCGAAAATTATGAATCTTTTTCTTAAAATCTCAAAATTATGACTTTTTTTCTCTAAATCTCAAAAATTTGAATTATTTCTAAAAATCAAAAAATTCGGACTTTTTTCCTCAAAATTATGACTTTTTTCTCAAAATCTAAAGATTCTAACTTTTCGTGAATGTAAATAATCCCTTGTCACCGGCTTGAGCTTCAATCTCAGGATCCATGTATGTGTGATCCTCTCCAGAATGGAAGTAGTCATCACATACAGAGCATCAACTAGTTCCTGAACAGTGTCCTTCACATGCTGATATCCAAGAGAGGGAGTTCCACAGTCACAAGATGGAGGAATAGAAAGCAGTATTCAATGTTTACTTCAGATTAGCTCCACGTCAGAAATGATCATGCTTGTCATATGTCTCTCTCCATAGAGGCTGAATCATCATGTTAATCACATAGCTATCATATGCCTCAAACAGTCCTGATGCTCTTCTAGGTAATCACACATCCTGTCATGTTCACAGCTACAGTTGGGATACCTTTGTTATCATGTGGACTCTGATATTGGAAGAGTACATTCACTAGTTTCCCAACAATAAGCATTATTCCCACAAAATAGGTCTGATCCCTTAAAAAGTTAGGTGTCCTCCTGCCTCCAGGTCCCAGAGGAGAGGGCTCACCGCGTCCGGCTGGCAGCAGGAAGTGGTCTCCGCTCAGACATTTGGAGGCAGTTTTTGCAGCGTTTCGGCAGCAGGATAAAGATCAGAGAAGGTTATGGCCTGACGGAGGCTGGCATCGGCTTCCTGAACTACACCGAGGAGGTCGGACCCATCGGCAGGGCGGGCTATTTCAACAAGGTCAGGAACAACAGCGGTAGAAATGTTTCCTCTGGACCCTATCACACTGACCTGCTTTATATGTTGTGTTTTTGGTGAAGCGACCCTTGTTAAATAGCTGATATTAGAAACACCTTATCCCCGTTTTAAAATCAGAAAGAGACCAATTAACTGAGGAAATATGGCAAAAAATACCCTTTTTTAAATGTCATTTTCCCCTTTAGCAGAAATGTAATTAGATTAGTTTGTTTTATCTCAGTTTGTAAAAAGGAGGCCCATGTTATTGCTTGCCTGGGTGACCTAATTATGATGCACCAGCAGATGTTATACACATGGCTTGAAAGTAGAATTTTCCATAGAATAAAGTAATAAGACCGCTTGAATGCCGTTATGCTGTGATTTAAAAAAGTTCCTTAACCTACATGCTCTACTAAAATATATTGTAAGCCCTTCCAAGTGTTATCTGTGCATCAAAATGTGTTTTTACTTGGCACTTGCATAGAACAATGGTTGTTAATATAGGGTGATAGTGATTGGTAACAAAGTGGATGAGACCGTAAATAATTGACCATAAACCAAAACTATGAGCTGTTTATCTGATAATTATCCGAATTGGGATCATTTCATATGCAAAGATACAGAATTTAAATCATTCTTGATATAATTAATACTGATTATATTAGAATTTGTTATATACACTCAATATGCTGTGAAATGCCTTGTTCCCAGTAGATTCAAAATTGATTATTGAAAATAATGATTTGGAGAAAAGAGCAATAAGTAACAATAAGTATAAGGTCAACAGAGATACAATTAAAGGGGAACACAACTCAAAATAGGGAATTTGAGTGATAAACATCTCAAATGTAAAAAAAAGGCAGCAGTGCGTGGGACGGTATAATCCATATGAATGGTATAATTAAGCAATAGCTCACGACAGGCCGTGGTATATGCTCATTATATCACAGCTAAGGGGCGTGGTTCGGCCCGACGCGAAGCGGAGGGTCGACAACCCTAACTTACAATTCTACCCGTGGTATACGCTCAGTATATCACGGCTAAGAACCAATCAGATTGCTTGATTTGACTTGTCCGTTTTATAAGATAAAATGTACAATATACCAACTGTGTGCAGACTGTATATATAACAAACAATGTTGATTATTCAGACGGTATCTCATTAAGACACATCTCTTTCTTTCCTCTCCAGCTGTCCATGCCCTTTGAGCTCCTCAGACACGACCCAGTGTCCTACGAGGCGGTCCGGACCCCCGCTGGGAGATGCATACGAGCACAGAACGGTAAACCAATCATACATGTAGTCCTTTAAAGTGACAGCTGTATGTCACTGAACGACCTTTTACCTCCTTGTGTCTCTTAACCTGTATACCATGTATCTGTAAAGTTCTTCACATCTGATCTGAGGGGAATTTCTAGTTGTTTATTTTTAACTTGTGATGTGTCGCCATTTTGTAAAGCACTTTGAGCTGCACGTGCTGTATGAAAAGCAGAGGTGGGAAGTAGTGGAGTACAAATACTTTGTTACTGTACTTAAGTACATGTTTCTGGTATCAGTGCTTTACTCCACTACTTATATTTCTGACGACTTTTTACTTTCTACTTCTTACATGTTGAACTCAAATACCTGTACTTTCTACTTCTTACATGTTGAACTCAAATACCTGTACTTTCTACTTCTTACACTTTGAACACAAATACCTGTACTTTCTACTTTTTACATTTTGAACACAAATACCTGTACTTTCTACTTCTTACATTGTTGAACACAAATACCTGTACTTTCTACTTCTTACATGTTGAACACAAATACCTGTACTTTCTACTTCTTACATGTTGAACACAAATACCTGTACTTTCTACTTCTCACATTTTGAACACAAATACCTGTACTTTCTACTTCTTACATGTTGAACACAAATACCTGTACTTTCTACTTCTTACATGTTGAACA